TTCTGTCATTGCTTCTAATTTGGTATTTCTTTTTCTAAATTGTGTTCTGCTACTTTTGTCTTTACCTCTTCTGGCTTTGTTATTAAATATGTTTTTTCTTCTTCTTGCTTGATAAGCCTATTAAGCATTATCTTTTTATACAGTTTATTTAAAAGGCTGGCAAGCATTTTTTCTTAGTCTGTTTTAATCATTTTGCATCTTTTGTCTATATTCTCTTCTATTTGTCTTTTTTGTGCCTGCTTCCAGTCTTTCTTCTTTTTTTCTTATAGGAGCTTTTGCTATCCTTTTATATCTTCTATCTAGCCATGTAACCAATGCCTCTGTAATTTAAGTAACTTTGCATCTATCTTGTTGCCAAGTACTTTTAATTGTTCATTCATACTATTTCTTTCTTCTTCTGTTATTTTTTAATCTTTTCTTATCTTTGTATATTTAATTAATCTTTGTAGCTTTACAATATCTTTTTCTTGTTGTTGTGTTTTTTGACTGGCTTTTCTGTTTGCCATTGTGTTGTATATTTTTTTTTTCGATATATGCTTATTGGCTGCAGTAATAATTGCTTCTTCTATAATATCCCAAATATTGTTTATTTTGTTTATATGTTCCTCTATATCTTGCATCTCTATTTGAATGTTTTTTAGACTTTCTATACTTCTAATTGTTTTTGCAGCTCTTGTGTATAATTTTTGCAATTCTCTGATTTTGCCTGGTTATATAAATATAAAGTTCTTGATTGTTTTTTTCTTTTAACTTCTGCTTTACTGTTCCTCTCTATTATATGTTTAATTCATATTTTTGCAGTTATAATTTTGTGATCACTTTCTGTAATTTCTTCTGTTTCTTTAATGCTTGCCTTTTGCAGCCCTGTGGCCAACTCTTCTAATACTCAAATATATTCAATTCTCATTACAGCTTTCTTGTTTGACCATGTGTACTTTTGGCTTGTTGGATGCATATTTCTATATGTGTCTATAAAGTCTTGTTTTTTTATCTAGTTAAAGATTGGTAGTCTTTTAAAATTTGCTGATTGTGGGTGTTGTCTGTCTAATATATTGTCTGCTATATGATTAAAGTTACCCATAATCATAACTTGCGTTTGTCTTTTCTGTTTAGTAACCATCTCTATAATCTTTTGTTGAATGTTTTTCTCTATTGTTTTGTTACTTAGTGATATATAGACTCCTATCACTATTAGCTCCAATTGCTTGAAGTATAATGTGATCTTTATCATGTATTCACTTATTCTCTTAACTGCACTCACATGTTTTTTCTATTGTTCTTCTATTAGAATTCCTATACCAGATTCTTTTTTCTTATCTTCTGCTGTGTTTGTTCAGTATCCTATATAGTTTTTGTTTGATGCATGCATCAAAAACCTTTCTTCTCTTTTAGTAATATTTGTTTCTATGACTTCTAGTATTGCAATTTCCTTTTCTTCTATCAGTCAAGCAGATTTTCAAGCTTCCACTCATTAGTTTTAAGTCCATTAACATTATGACATGCTATTTTGATCTTTTTTTTTCTTATTTTCACTTTTCTTTTAATTGGTCTTGTTTTGCTTCTATGTTTTCTACTTTTCTTTTGCTTTTTCTGATTTCTTTTTCTTTTCAATAAGGAGTTGTTATGCTTTTTTTATATATTTCTCTTTCTTTTTGTAGAAAACCTTCAAGCTCCTTATCTATTTTCATTAGTTCAACTAAGGTGACCTTAGAAGTGATCAGCTAGGCCGTCCTTTGTCTTTAGCTGTATTTTTTCTATAGATTTGTTTTGTTGTACTTTGAGTTTGTCTAGTCTTTCTAGAATTCTTTGAAGTAAATCTTGCATTTGTAAATTGAAGTTATTTTCTTCAGTTTGTTTTATTCGATTACCATCTTTGATTTCATTATTTTCTCTTTTAATTGTTTCTTTTTTGTTAACCTTTTGCTCTTCTTCAATTATGTTAATAAATGTTTCTTTTGAGTTTAGATGTTTTTAACTATTATTACCTTCTTTTTTCTTATTTCACTTTTCTTAAAAGTTTTTCTAATATAGAAGATGGTTATTAAATCTTATTGATTTGGATTGTGCTTTTTCTATTTCTTCTTCTGATACAAAAGTAATTGTCACTGCTCTTCTTTGGTTTTCATTTCTGTTAGATAGTATGTAAACTGACTTTGCTTTTTTGTTTTTTAAACAGCATAATAGTAATATTTCTGAAGCATTGCCTAGGAGTTCTGTTAGTCTTGTTGTGAATAAATTTTAAAGATCATGTTGTGTGTAATCTTCATCACCTTTGGTTATTCTTGTCAACTTGTAGACACTAATTGGCAAAATCTATAGAATATTTTTGTTAGTAAATTGATCTGCTTGAACTACTGCTAATGCCTTGTGTTTAGATCTTTTGATACATCTTGTTTGTATCTTTTTAAAATTTTTGTATATATGTTTGATTTCTTCTACATTGATATTCACTGATAAGTCCCATATTATAAAACAGTTATATGAATTTTTTTCATATTCTGTCATAAGCACATCTTCTTTCTTCTTATCTTCTTCTCTTCTATGTTGGGTTTTGTATTTTTCTTTCTTCTTCTTATTGCTATTTTTGACTTGTTGTTTGAGTTTTGATTCTTTGTTTTTTTTTTTTCTAGAATAAGCTTGAAATATTCATCTTTCTTTTCTTAGATTCTGTTTATCACTGCATCTCGACTATGTTCATAATTAAAGTTTATTTCTACTTAGTTGTTTTTGTTTTTAAAAACTTCTATAATTGTTTTAATATAATGGTTTTTGTCCAGAATCTATTGCATATATTTTATTCTTTCATTATTTGTTTCTTCAGACAGGATATATGCAGACATGTTTGCTTTGAAAAATATGTTCTTATTATATATTCTATTTTCTGGTGACCATTGGCTATACTCAATTGTATCAGTAAAGATTGAATCTTTATAGGTCAGTTTTTCTTCTTTTAATTCTATTATTTTTTTCTTGATGTTTTTTATATTTTTTTTAACATCTTGGATAATGCTATCTCTTGGAACTTCTGTGTCCTTCTTTATCTTTTTCTCCCATATTTCTTCTGCTTCATTTAATTTGTTTATGAGAGTTTGGTTTGTGTTTGATAAAGAATTTTTTTGTTGCATATCTTGTTGCATATTAATATTGAGCTCCTTCATTTAGCCAATGACTTTATTCATCATTTGGGTTGGTTTTCCTTGTAGTATTTCTTCTCTTTCTGTATCTTGACATCTCTTTTTTGTTATTGATATTTGCATCTTTTCTATATTATTCAGTTTCTTTATTTCTTCTATTTTTTTCTCTTTTTTAAGTATTTCTTCTTTGTTCATGTTTGTAATATATTCAACTGATTTTAGGTTCTGGTTCATCAATCTAAGTTTTTGTATCCATTCATCTATTATATTTTTTTCAAGCTAACTTAGTTCTGCTAGACTTAAGATCTTAAAAATTTGTTCATAAAATAGTACATCACTTAGTGTAATATGGTTTGAGTTATTTATTGCTAAGTCTTTTACTATATGTTCTACATTGCTTGGTTCTTTTGTAGACATTGTTAGAATTTGATCCAACAATTCAGAGTTTAAATATCTTTAATTTTTATTATCTGCCTCTTGATGTAATACAAATGTCTATATCAGTAGCTCGATCAATTCAATTTACTTGTTGGATTTCTAACTTGTTGGATTTCTTTTTGAGTTGTTCATATGTACTCTGTGTTATGTTACTATTTACTACTATCTATTTATCTATTTTCTAATTAGAAATTTGACTTTGTTGTTTGTTGTTGTTATTTAGTCAGTCACATGTTTCCTTTTTGTTTTTCAGGATCAATTGTGTTTTCTCAAAATTTCGAGTTTTATATTAAAAAGAAAAGAGATTTTTCTAAAAGCAAGTTTAATTTGTTAGGAATACCTTTTCTATTATTATACTTCTATTGTTGTTCATGTATTTTTGCATATAAACTCTTTTTTCTTAAGGATCCAAGGACTGTTTTCTATTTTGTTTCGATTATATTTTATGTTTTGTTTCTGCTCTATTTTGGAATTAGAGATTAGTAAAAAGAGTTCAATTAAAAATAATACCAAAATTTTGCAAAAAAACTTTTTGTTAATATGCAATAAACAGTTTTATAAACAAAATTTTAAGTTATAAATAATTTTTGAATTGTTTTAATTCTTTACATTATACCTAATTTCAAAAGTTAATTTGCTAATTTTAGAATTGTTTAAATAAAATATTAATTTATATTAAAATTTTTTTTATAAATAGTCAAAGTTTTAATTAAAATAAGTAATCTTTTGATAAATAGTTTAAAATTTTAATGAAAATAAGCTAGTTTTGTTAAAAAAAAGATAGCAAATGCTTTGTCAAATAAATAATAAAGTCACATCAAAGAATGATTAAAGTCTTGCTAAATAAAAAGGTTTATCAAAAATAAGAGAAATCTTAAAAAAACCAAAAAGTAGTTTTAGTAAAAATCTCAGAATAAGAAACGAAGCAATAGATATTCAATTGACTAACCAGTTGCACAAATATCTGCGCCAAATTAGGAAATGATCGTCTAGCCGTCCAAATTCGATAAGGGTTACATAGATGCACTCTTATTTTTATTGGATAGATTAAAACTTCTAGTTACAAATTTCAAATTCGAAAGCTTGTGCTACGAGGATTGTCACGTTTAAAGCCTGTTTTTTCGATTTTTAATTAATGTTAGTGTTAGTGTTAGACATAGGCTAGAAGGGTAGTAAGTATATAGTAAAATCGCATTTCCGACTTTCACTTAGTGTACCAAGATGACCATTTTTATATTTGTCTTTGTCGGTTTGTTCGGGGTAATACGGGACGCATGTCGGGTAATTACGTAAAATGCCAGGCAACAAAGATCAGAGATTTTTGATAACGCCATGATAATATATAGTGCACAAAATGTTTACAAATATTACTCATCTATTTCTGATTTGCGAATAGTTGCTTTCTCGTCCTTAGAATTTTTTTAAAAAATGTGTGGAATTATCGCGCTTCTGCTATCAAATCCTGATATATTAGCAAGCGTCGAACTGTTCGAGGGATTGCAAATTTTGCAACATAGAGGACAGGTAAATTATTTTCACGAGGTTAAATTTCTTAAAATATAAATTTATGCGAGTCTGTCGTGACAATTAGGATGCGGCAGGTATCGTGACCTGCGGGCATAAAGGACGTCTTTATCAATGCAAAGAGAATGGAATGGTAAGGGATGTCTTTGATCAGGAAAACTTACAGAATTTGATTGGAAGTCTCGGTATCGGTCATGGTACGGTTTTTTTTTATTCTAGAAATCCTTAAAGAAGCTTCATCACTTGTAGATGAATTATCATTTGTCATACATATTTTAACGTTTCATATTTTTATTAATTTAGTTCGCTATCCAACCGCTGGAACGTCTTCCAAGTCTGAAGCACAACCTTTTTATGTGAATAGTCCGTACGGGATGGTTTTAGCACACGTATGTAAAGAACTGGATAAAGTAATCGTGCACGCTATTTCCGAGTTCGCAAAATAATGTTTATTTCGCTTGGTGATTTTTATGGGGTTTTAGTTTTCAAGAAAAAAAAGTGCAATCTTAATTGAACAATGCACAAACAAAAATCAATCATAATCTATGTTTTAGAATGGAAATCTGGTTAACGCAGAAGAATTAAAGAACTCACTGGACGTTAGGGCACACCGTCATATCAACACTGACTCTGATTCTGAACTACTCTTGAACACATTTGCCGACAATTTACAGCAAACCGGTAAATTCAGGTAATGAAATATATGTGTTTTTTTTTTTTATTTAATTACATATCACTTGTTCTTTGATTATTAATTCAAATTTGATGCTATTTTTAATGATGGAAGAATTTACGAAGAAGATATCTTTACAGCCATAAAAGGCCTTTACGAACAATGTATAGGTGGTTATGCGTGTGTAGCTATGATTGCAGGTACGTGCTTTTTTACTAATTTTTTACTTTACTTTTATATACTCTTTATTATATCAATTCTAAAATGAAATATTTTTAGGTTTCGGTATTATTGGATTTCGGGACCCACATGGAGTTAGACCAATATGCTATGGAACTCGGGTAAACCACGATGGTTTTGATTTTATGTTTGCGTCAGAGAGCGTCGTGTTGGATAATTTAGGTTTCACGGAAGTTAAAGATATAAGTCCTGGTTGGTGTACTTGTAATTATTATTTTTTTGCGTAATGATTTTATCGGTGTTAATCGATTTTCTTGCATAAAAGGCGAAGCTGTAATCGTAACGAAGCAAGCTATAACAAAACGTAAACTAGTGCATTGGGGAGAGCTCACGCCATGTATATTTGAATATGTATATTTTGCGCGTCCTGATTCAGTCATTGACGGAATTTCCGTATATCGCTCAAGATTAGAAATGGGTGAGCATTTAGCCAACCAAGTTGTGAAAAAATGCGGCAAAAACTTGGACATTGACGTTGTCATTCCGGTGAGCATTCTTTTTTTTTAGTACCATAATTTTCGGCAAATAGTACCCCTTGTTAAAATGCCCACCATCGTCAATTTGAGTCAATTTGTATAGTAACCAGAAGGGTACTAATCAATTTTTAGACCGTGAGAATGTAAGAGACTTAGGTACTATTTGCCGAGAACTATGGTAATTTGGTTTAATATTTTCACAAGAATAAATTGAAAAAGTTTATGTTAGGTTCCTGACACAAGTCGTGTAGCTGCTCTTCAAGTGTCACACAAATTGAAGATTGCGTATCGTGAAGGATTCATAAAAAATCGTTATGTAGGTCGTACATTCATAATGCCCGGACAACAAATGCGTCGAAAGAGTGTTCGACGTAAATTGAATGCCATGGCTTTGGAATTTGTCGATAAAAATGTTCTAATAGTTGATGGTATGTTATAAAATTATACTTTCCTTTTATAAATTACAACTTACCATTAACTCTTTTCTCTGTCATGGTCATAAGATTCAATCGTTAGAGGTACAACTTCTAAAGAGATTGTCCAAATGGCACGCGACGCCGGCGCAAAAAAAGTATATTTTGCTTCATGTGCACCTCCGGTTAGGTAAACATTTGTCATCCTATTATTAGCTTACGTGTGTTAAACATGATCTAATTTGATTGTTTCGTATAGGTACCCTAATGTTTATGGTATAGATATGCCATCTCGACAGGAGCTTGTGGCATTTGGTCGTGACGATGATTTAATTGCCAAAGAGATAGGTGCGGATATGGTGATATATCAGGTAATGGACTATCCATATTCCTTCTACATAAGCTTTTCTTGGCACCGTTGTTAATACTTATTAAATTCCTGTAGGATCTTAATGACTTGATTGCTTCTTGTCAGAAGTTCAACCCAAATATTACAGTGTTTGATTGTTCTGTATTTAATGGTCATTATGTTACCGGTGGGGTTACGAATGAATACTTGGATCGTTTAGAAAAGTCTCGTAGTGATTTAGCAAAGTCATCCAGAGAAAACCTTCATTCACCTGAAGCCATTGGATTACATAATTTACGTCATACATCTTCACAAGCATCATTAGAACGAAATGGTTGGAATGGTGTTAACGGTGTTAACGGCTCATTGCAATATTAGTTTTTTTTATATTGTTTATGTATATATGTATGAGCGTTATTCTCTATTAAATAAATTTATAGGCCAAAGTTGATCGCATCACGTGAATTGATGTTTTGTCACAGGACCAATCGTGTAATTATAAACTGATCGTGATTAAATTAAATTTTGCACCAGACCAAATAAATATGGAAGAAACTTCACGTCAACGTAAAGAACGTTTAAAAGCTACACGTAAGCGAAAGCTTGCCTCTTCAAAGTCTGAAGAACAGGCGTCCGAAGAGCAGGCGTCCGAAGAGCAGGCGTCCAAAGAGCAGGTGTCCAAAGAGCAGGCGTCCGAAGAGCAGGCGTCCGAAGAGCAGGCTGTTGAAGAAGCTTCTAATATTGTAAAGTACTTATAAGCACATTAGTCATAACGGTGAAAGTTATTGCTTTGATTTATCACCTAACCTCTACACATATACTGTTGAATGAATAAAAGAAAACCTATATTAAAATTTCGTAATTATACTCCATCAAACGAAGAAATAAAAACTGCTGCCAAAATTCACATAGCGACACCGAACGATTTAGACGAAACTCTAGAAAAACATGTGGATCGCATCACAAAAGAAGTGGAAGAAACCGAAAAGGCAAAACGCGAGGAAGAAGTAGTACGTATACGTACTTTATATACTTGTTGCTTATTATTACATTTAATAAATTCACGATTTATTTGTTAGGATTTATTCAATTTGGCACCAAAAAAACCAAATTGGGATCTTAAACGCGATGTTGAAAAAAAGTTGGCAAAACTTGAAAGAAAGACACAAGCTAGTATTGCCCATTTAATAAGTAATGTCTTTTTTTTTCACTGAAACTTAATATATTTGAATTTGTCAACTAATGTCTTTTTGAAAAAAAAAAGAGGCAAGACTTCAAAGTGATTCGGCTGAAAATACTTCGATTGGTTTGATTGACGCCGTTAACGCGCAACAAAAAGCTGATTTAGAAGATAATGACTCTGATTAGGGATGTTAAAGTTAGTTTATGTTTGGCTTAGGTTCTAAAACCTTTAGGTTTCAAATTAAAAACCTAATAACCAGGTTTTTATATTATAAGTTTAAACCTAAGGTAACCTGGTTGGGTTCAGAACCAAATTTTAAGAACCTGTTTCTCAATATCCTGAGACATAAAAAATGAAAGTGTATTAATAAAATGTTTGATCCGAATAACTTTACTTAATGTGCTAATTTAATAAAATTTTGATTTTTGTAAGGCAAAAGGGCAGTTTACATAATGTCGAAATTAACGTGAGATCTTTCAAATAGAGTTTGATACTATTGTTATTATTATTTTTTTACTTTGTTTTACTATATAGTTTAACTTTCAGTGATGTTAGGATGAATAGAATAGAATGCATTAGGTTAAGATGTTTTCGATCCATCTTGGTAAGACAAATTGAATAGCAGGCATATAATTAATTAGTAATATATAAAAATTACTAGTTAAATATATGCAATTAATCAATCGTGAGGGACCAACTTGAGGCAATAATGCTGATTGGCTAATTTTTGATTATTAATTAAAATCCATTCAATCATCTTAAGTTGGACCTTGCCTCATGTTGGTTTCTCACAATTATTGATATTTTATAACATTTTAGAAGGAAATTGGCACTTGTTTTTTGGTCAATAGTTTGGTTTTTTTTATTGTTAAAGGTTGTACTTTGTGGTGGCATTTTTAGGGAATTGATATTTCCACACCCTTTTTTGATATTGCCACACTCCCGCTAATAAAAATCAATATAAATTATTAGGGTTTTGGTTAGTTTAGAGTTTGCAGGGGTGTGGCAATATCAATTCCTCATTTTTATTAACATATTAGGATTAATTATTTCAATTATTTTTACAATAATGAAAGTACAATTTAAACATTTATGTAACTTTTAGTTGTAGAATATGGTGATCTAGTGAAGTGGTCAGGTTGTTAACCTTCAAGTGGAAGGTCCAAAGTTCAAATTTTAGTGTTGACAAAAAATTTAAAAATTTTTTTTGTTATTGGTTGAGATAAGATATCTGTTACTTGTATTGTACTAGCATGACTAGCAAGTTACATGGCATTTGTGTAATAGTCACATAACATTGTCTTTTGGGACAAGGTTTGTAGTTACACAAAAAAATGCAAATTGGTACTGGGTGATACAAACTTACAATAAGTTCTTGTGATCATGTAAATTATAGAAACCAAAAGAAGAAAAACAGAAGTTTACTTGAAAGACCCAAATAGAGAAATAACTTGAATTTTTGATGATACTATTGTAAAGACTAGACTTATGAAACAGAATTAGAACTTATGAAACTAGATAAATGTGTCAATCTTTAAGGAGAGATCAGATGAACCAATCAGGTTACTAGAATTTCTGGATTTAGGAAGAAAAGGGTACATGTTAGCAAATATTTAAATCAAAAGTGTATGGTTTTGATCTACCTTTCTGAGTTATCTGGAATGGCAGTTTAGTGAAACTTGAATTAATTACCAAAATAGTAAGAATATATTGTAAAGTCAGTACCAAGATTGAAGTGAACTCTACAAAAACATAATGGTTTAATAGTATACTTTGACTGCCAATATTGGTTTTGATTATAGTGATACTAGGTCAGTTGTAAGAATAGAATATAAAAGATTCTGAAAGGTTTAGTATAAGGTCAAAGGTTTCAAAGAACTGCTTTAAAGACTTAGTGATTATGACATATTTTCACTAGTATCAAACAAGGTTGTTAGTAAGTAGAAGTAGATGAATAAATACAGAAATTAGAATGGTTAAATAGGGAATCTATAAACAGGTTTCAGATATGGCAATTAGTGTAGAACTTTCAGACAAACTACTTAAATTAGACAATGACTAAAGTTATATAAGTGGTTAGTTGTACATTCTTTCTATAGTTGTCCCCTATAGTTGTAATACAACTATTAGTTAAATATACTATTAATAAAATCCTGAATTGCAAATACTCATCTTAATATTTAAAAAAAAAAACTTTTGGTTGTTTATTTTAAATAGTTTGTTTTAGAATTTTTTATTAATAATTTACTAGAAGATTATTTATTTAAATTTTTTGATTATTTGTTCTGTTAATTATTTTTAATTGTTACAAATTTCTTATATATATTTATATATACTGTTTGAGTAATATATATTTTTATTTTATATTAATATTTAGGTTATTTTTAATTAGAAAATTATTTGTTAATAAGGTTTAAAGTATTTTCTTTATTAATTAATCTATTATTTTACAAATCATTAACAGAATTATGTTTTTGTGAAGTTTATTTAAATCTTAGTACTTTATAGTATATTTTTAGTATTTTTAGTTATTTTTATTTTGTTTTTAAATTTTTAATTCAAACAGTTTAGAAAAATTATAATCTGTTTTTGATATTTTAAGTCTGATTCAATATTTTTTTTTTCTTCTTTGACTTGGCCTGCCAAGATTTTTCTATATATTCTTTATATTCTAAACTATTGTTCTTTATATTCATGTTTTTCTGAACCTCGACCTCCTCTGGTCTGTATTTTTAAACTTTTTAAGAATGACAGTTATACTAATCTTTGCTAAAACTAGAAGGCTTTGCCAAGCTCTATCAAGAACTGGCTATTGCCATGAGTTCATATAGTGTCTCTCATTATTAGACTTTCAGCTTTACATTATGTCTTATGATTTTGGTTATTTCAAATTAGGCTCTAACTTGTATCTGTTACTATGTAGCTTCTCAATTGCAAGTTACTTGTTATTTCTAAAAATAAGTCTATTCATAGACATTCTGGGTCCCTAGTTCTATAACATTGCAGTTCTCTATTTTTAGAAATACATCTTTACAATTGCTATTACTAGGATTTGAACAAACAACCTTGTGATTTGTGACCTTAGAGCATAACCACTATGCTATCGATCCTAAAGAACAATATTTTTTTTTAGTTTTATTTAGTAGTTTAATTAGTAATCTTTTTTATTTAGAGATTTTTGTTTATATAATTTCTTTATATTAGTATTTATTTCTTAGATCTAGATTTATAAAAATATTATTAAAGATTTGTGTTAATTCTTTACTTAAGTTTTTTTAAAATAAATTTTTATTTTTTTAGTTCTACAAATTTATACAACTACAAAGTCTTATCTTAGGTTTATATTTAATATTAGTTTACATTTTTGTATAATTAAAATTATACAAATATTTTATAATATTTTAGTTATACTAATGTAATTATAGTTACAAATATTTAAAGTATAATAATCTAGCAAAGTGAACAGATTATTAACCTTCAAATAGCAGGTCTAATGTTTAAACTTTATGAATAATAAAATTTGAAAATTATATCTATATTATGATAATTGTGATTTAATGATCAGTTAAATGAAAAAAATAATTTATAATCTTAGAAACATTATTTTAAATAAGAGTTTAAACCATTTATGCAAAGTATAATATTATATATATATAGAGAAATGTTAATAACCAGTGTTGTATAAAACTTTGATGCAAACCTATGATAAGACTACTAAATGCATAATACTAAGAAACTAAAGCATAAAAATTCAATTAGAAATTCTAAGTAAAAAGATAGCATAAGCTTTTTATAGTACTATCAGATTATTAAAAACTTCTAAAAAAGAATAGTTAGGATGAATTGAATAACAATTATCAGCAAAATTTTTAAGCAGATTTATATTAATATATAGCATTTAATTGATATATATCTATTAAAAATAATCACTATATATTAATTAAATTGCTATATATTGATATATACTACTAATAATATATAATAATTATTAATATATAACAATTATAAATGATTATAATTACTATTGATTAGTAATGATTTTTATAAATTTTATTAAATTTTCTTAAACTTTAAATTTAATTTTCTTGATAACTAGTAATTCAAATTAACTCAAATTTTTACTGTAAATAATAAATATATTTAACTATAAATACTAAAGTTTCAATCAATTTAAATTTATAGTTTTTAAGAAATCACTTGTAAATAATAGTTTATTTTTTAAAAAAAATTAACTATTATTTATAAGTAATTTCTCAAGAACTATTAATTTAAATTAGTTGAAACTTTAGTATATTATAGTTGAATATATTTATTATTTATAATAAAAATTTGAGTCAATTTGAATTACTAGTTATCAAGAAAGTTAAATTTAAAATTTAAGAAATTTAATAAAATATTGTTATATATCATTACAAATCACTAATTATAATACTTAATAGAGATGCTATATATTAATAGTAATCTAAAGATTACTAATGATATATATTATTTTTAAAATTTTTTTAATAATATTTGTAAAGAAGTACATACCAACTAGGCTACCAAAAATTATTAAAGAAAAACAATTATAGAATACCATATTAGGCTATTTGGATTAGTAGTTTGAGAATTTTTATAGGTTTAAAAATAAGAAATAGATATTAAAAAAGAAAGATATTAGAATATTAGTGAACTTTACAAAAGTATAGCAGTCTAATGGTTAGTCATGACTGCAAATAATGATTTAATTCAAAGTAGTATCAAGTTAGTTGTAAGTATATAATATAAAAGACTTCAGTAGACTTAATACAGATTTAAATATAATTTAGTAATCATAAATATTTGCAGTTAATCTGCTATTGGTAGAATAAAGATAAATACTAGAACTAATATATTTAAATAGAGAACCCATAAATGGGTTTTAGATATGCCAAATAGTATAGAACCTTTAGATGAATTACTTAAAATAGACAATGACTAAAATTATATAAGTGACTAGTTGTATACTCTTATTATAATTGTCTTTGTAGTAGTTGTACATAATAGTTATATACTAGCATATTATCAATAAACTTTTGGATTACAAGTACTCACTTTAAAAATAGAGTATATATAGATTATTTTTATATAGTTTTATATATCTCTTTAAAATTTTTATTTAAACTTTTTTATATTTTAATTAATCAAGAAAAAAATTTTATAATAT